CGGAATAAACATCCCTTCGCCACAGCAAATGGCTTTAGGCGAAACGAAATGAAAAAATAACAAGTACCTACAATATAAATGTAAATACCTAAAAAAAAACCACTGGTTTGTCTGTACACAAAAATTGGAAATATTTATAAAACATAATTTATAGAACAATTGTTTTTACTGAGAAAATGTGTAACATCATATACGTAAATCTAACTAAGATAAGGTAGGTACATGTGTAGTATAATGAAACGATTAAAAAATGAATTATTTTTTGTAAATAGGCCATTAAACAACATGCGTCAGCGACATAAGCATACGTCAGCAATATACAAAAAAATAATAATAATATGATGCCGGAATTTAATATCACAAATAAATATGAATATTGAGTATTGAAAGAAGCACATCAGGTTGAGTGCACTCGTTCTGGTGGCAGTCACGCATTAGATAATAATAAGTCAGTTTACAACCAGCTTAACACGCAGGTATTGCTGAATTGTCCAACTAACAATACTACCAAAAGAAAATTAGCAGATAAAGTAAGTCAGTGTGGTAGGTAAGTGTGGGAGAGCCAAGCTTCGACACGAATGAGTCGGCTCGACCAGCGTGAAACAACCACAGCGTTGTGTTTCGCCGTGCGAGTCAGGTTACCTACCGGAATCCAAATCCTTCCCCTCCCCCAATCCCTCCTAATTACCAAATCCCTAATCCCCAAAAGGTCGACAACGCACTTATAACTCCTCCGTTGCAGGTGTCTAAGGGCGGTGCTGATTGCTTACCATCAGGTAATCCGTCTGCTCCTATCACATAAAAAAATAGCAGTCAAAACCAGTCCATTATTAAAGTAATCAAAAAAATTGGTGTCGAAAAGCGAAACAAAGTCTCACGCGTTCCAGTTACAATAATTTTAATTTTAATTAAGCTTTAAGAAGAAAACATTACGGATACAAAATATTCAGTCTTAAATTAAAACTGGCTGAATTAATGGATAAACAGATAACGAAAAAAACTGAAAAAAAAACATCAAATGAGACAGCAACAAACGGTCTGTGATCCTTCTGGAACTGTCATACCAATGCCATTTTTCTAAAGTCTTCTTTTAGTATGTATTCGTTACTGCTTATACATAATGTTCTAAATTTTCTTTTCAAAATCTTCCACCCATACTTAACTGCTACTAAAAATAACAAATTGTTCTCACGAGAAAACTTCAACTTCACTTTTTGGCTTAAAAAGTCACGAGTTTAACGCCCACACTGAATTCAAAAACAGGTTAGAACAAGTTAAAGTTCTCTTACATTTCATACGGTGCATTGTATAAAATTTTTTGGCAACGATACGTACGTTTAGTGTGTACGCAAAGCCGCTCAACATGGTAACAATTCCGCTTCCAAAAATAGCTTACTACTTCAATTTCGCCGGCAGTTTTCAAAAGTTATTAAATTTAATATACATTCTATGTTTTTGACATTATTTAACGGCTTACTGTGGCGGGTCATATGCAGAATTGTAACGGTAAATTACGAGTAATAACTTACACTCACTGTGTGTACGAGGAAAATAGACTAAGTTGTAAGAGAACAGCGTTTTTAATACTTCATAAAGAAACCCCCTTTTTTGCAAAATAAGTTGCTCCGCGCTAGTATTTTCTTCTGCGTATTGGTGTTTTTAAAAACTTCATGTTTAGGATTGTAATTCACGTTGAACTTCCGATTGTATCCTAAAATAATACAGTAGCTACTTTTCTTCCAAGCAATGCGTGTGAGGCCGCTAGAAGAGGTTCCAATTTAAATATATAAATATAACGCTTTTGATAAGTTTAGTACTTTTATTAAGTTTATTTTCTAGACCACTGGTTCGAATTTTATTTGGATAGAGTTTTTATCAAAAAAGCCTTACAAGACTATGCTATAGCTATTAGCAGTCGAGCTGTGGATGAAACAATACGGGAATGACAATAATGCCTAGCTAGACTGCGTCTATAGAACCTAATATCCTGCCATTATGTGACTTCAGAGTGAGAATATTGTAGAATACTATTTCCTTGTAGGAGTTATTTGAGACTTGGAACACAAAATTTAGAACTCAATATAATTTAAAAAGTGTATTATTAAATCCTGCTAAAAATCACAATACATTTCAAGACCTATTGTATCACTTAATTTTAAGTATAAATAAACTTATGCGGCACATAACAATAACAGTTCTGTATTAAATTTTATCTGGAACATTACGAAACAACCCAGAATAATATGAATATACGAAGATATAGGTAAATTTGTTGAATTTCACAGTTAAGAATGCATGCCCTCTGTGTAAGTTACAAAATCAATATGGCGCCTCCGAATGTCAATGGATAAGGTGTCAAAAGAAAAATATTTCGCAAAACACAATAAATTGTATCGCTTCACTGATTCGAAAATTTCACAGTAAATTTTATGATTGTGGAATCCTTCCAATGAATTTTATCAAGAATATCATTTTGGCTGAACTAAGGCCTGAGAATCACAAATTCCATTTCATTCCGAATACAAAATCCATTTTCGTATTTTTAGGTATTCTTACTCATATAATATGTAACTTATTTTACAAAATAACAAAGGCAGTAAAGTTTAAATGGAAAAAAAGGACTACATTTCAGGTCAATCAAATACAGATAATTTTTATTGAACAAAAAACAAACAAACTATTAATCTTATTGGTCATAATTACACCAGATTTTCTAGATGCAAGCCATCTAAATAATACTTAAAAAGAAAACAAATTAAAAACGCTGATCCCATAAAATTAGACCAAACACCAAAGTCAGCGTGCAAATTTCTGACTAAAACCCACTTTAGTTCAATTTTTTTATGAAAAACGTTCGAGTTTCAGCGGCGTGGAGTATATTATGCTAATAATTTGCGCGGTTAATGAATTGTACAAAGCATCGTCCGTGTTTGAAAGAACTTTCGACTTTGGAAGGGTATTATTTATTGTACATAAGTGGTATTTTCCTTTGTAGCGCAAAATACTCTATTTTACGTGTGTAATATATGGTGGCGTTCAATTGCTTGAATTGAGAGGGTGTTATATATTCTTTGAAATTTGTTTGAATGGTTTCGTAATTTAGTGTGATTTAACAATAAGTTATTTGGTCTATATTGTACTTTAGCTGCAATTGACACTAAGGTTAGGCTAGGTGATACGTCTACGAAATGTGGATCCCCAGACCCCCTCCACCCAGGCGAGGTCGGAGAACCACTAGGTTTTTTAGTGGGTATACCGAAAACGTCTTTACCGGGGAGCCCCACATAACCCTCTCCCATCCCCCGACGGGAAGGGGGTATGCGTAATAGGTTTTTTCCGAGTGCCGGGAAAAAAAGGTGAAACGCCTACATTTTCATGGCTGTTGTAAAAGCTGACCGGAGGCCCAATATCCAATCTCCAATCCTATATAAATACCCAATCGCTTTACCTTAACAGATGGCAAGACACTTTCAGCTCTCTCGGTGTTCCTGGAGTCCAGGTATGGCGACGATTGCTTACCATTAACTGAATAACCTTAACCTTTTTCTACGCAAGTTTTGAAACAGTACTTTCAAATTCAAATTCAAATCCTTTATTTGCATGTTAAGGTAGGTACAAGGATCTTAAATTAAAATAACAGGCACAGCTAAACGGCCTTTTTCAGGCGTTGCAAAGAGAGCTATGACTAGGGCTACATTATAAAATAATATTAAATTACATCATTGCGTAAACAAAAAAGTTAATAATTAGTTAAAGTTAAAAAAAAAGTTTATAGTTAAGTTTGTAGGTAGTGGTTAGTAGGTGCTTGTGTGTGTGAGTGGTGTTCTACTTTTGACCCTTTTTATAGTAAAATTTAATATATCGTGTCAATTGAAAGAGTGTAGTTAGCAGAACCTGAACTGATTTGTGAGTAGGAACCACGCTTAGATACAAATACCCTGGCTCGACCGGTGGAATAGCACGGCTTAGTAAGATATCGGCGTCAAACAATCGGAGGTGCCTACTACCCCAAATCCTATATCTATCCATCCTAAACTCCCAAACCCCCAAAATACGAGCTACTTTCAACTCCACCGATGCGGGTGTCCACGTGCGATGCCGATTGCTTACCATCAGGTCATCCGTCTGTTTTTTTACTGCACAATCCTGTAAACAAAGGCCTCCATAAATCTCTAATTAATCTACAAAAGTTCAGCAACGCACTTGTAATTTCTATAGAGTTGCGGGTGTCCAAGGGCGGCGCCGATTGCTTCAATCTGGACTGGAGGTGGGTATAAAGAGATGATGGTGAACCTTCTAAGGTAGAGGAAGCTGTTCGGCTTTGGACCGTTGCAACTTGTTAATATTGAAGTGTGGGAGAGCCATGCTAAGTTTGGAAGAGCCATGCTAAGTGTGGGAGAGCCATGCTAAGTTTGGAAGAGCCATGCTAAGTGTGGGAGAGCCATGCTAAGTTTGGAAGAGCCATGCTAAGTTTGGAAGAGGCATGCTAACTTATTAAAACCAGTGTGAAAAAACCACAGCGTTATATTTCACCGTGTGATTGAGGTTCACCTTTCAATCTTTCTCTTTCCCCAATCCCTCCCTAATCTCTGAATCTCCAAATCCCTAATCCCCAAAAGGTGGGCAAAGCACTCGTTACTCCTCTGTTGTTGCAGGGCGATGCTAACCATTAGGTTAATCGTAAGCTGTTTACCGTCCTTTCCCATAAAAAAAATGATATCGATGGAAGGTAAAGCCAGTAACATCGTTAAGTTTTTCTAGAAGTACGCCAAAACGGAAGCGACTATATATTAAATTGGTGCAATGCACACAAATAGACTAAAATTAGACGAAAATCAGACAGTCAAACTAGCAACAAAACTTAACTCAAAGATTCAGAAACATCACAAACAACCGGTTCTCAGTAATCAAGTACAAAGTCATGTTTGAAACTAGAACAGTTAGAAATATGCTCAGCTTCTAGCAAACACATTTGCACACACCAAGAATGACGTGCATAACGTATATGGAATTAGTTATGACATAGATCGGCAAACGAGCAGACGGATTACCTGATGATAAGCAATCGTCGCCGCCAATGGACACCCGCAATACCAAAGGAGTAACGAGTGCGTTGCCTGTCTTTTGAAGATTAGGATTTCGTATATTTAAGGATTGGAAAGGGATGGGGTAGGAGAAGAATTAGGCCTCCGCCCACCTCAGACACACGGCGAAACAAAACGCTGTGGTTGTTTCACGCCGGTTTTTTTGTGATAGGATAAAATAGTTTTAAAACTTAATGCATACCTAATAACAGCTTGACTGTAGATAACAATATTTTGTTTACATAACATAACAGACATTGTTAACAATTACTGAATATTAAATTGAGTGTTGATGATTTTGTCTAAGATGATAAATAAAGAACAAAAATACTAATGGCAACCTGTCGTTGCTCCTTTTTATGTTCAATTTAAAAACACAACTTTGGCGTACACTAGGATTTTCTCCTGTGGCACATCAAATATCATAGAAAAACATACTCCTTGCGAAAATCAATAAAATGTAGCAGTGGGCTACTCGGCCATCGCGTCCTCTATGCGGACTATCGTAAATGAAGCCTGCATGTATGAAAACAGACTCCTACGGAAAAGCCATGCTTTGGCATAAATGGGTTGTTCAACAGGATTAATACTACGGCCACACAGAAAACTATGAAACAACGCCTTTATTGTGTTTTGCGTGTGTTTCAGATACCCGGACACAATCCCCAACCCCAAATCTCTAATCTCCAAATCCCCTAACCCAAAACTCCAATCCCCGAACCTAAATACCATATTAGTAACCTTAAAGACTGACAAGACACTTTTAACTGTCTCAGTGTTGCTGAAGACTACTTGCGAGTAGACATAAGTTCTTTTTTTTTTCTAGCTAGAATAGCCCATGCTACTCACGATCAATTAAGTTTTCCAATGGATTTTTTAAATCCGCTTAGTAGTTTATCAATTTATTAATTGACGCAAACACAGACGCAAATGATGATTGCTTTCATATTGTAAAAGTCGTGTAGATTAGTATTAGAATACTATGAACAAGTCTTTTACCTGAAAAAGGGTCCTTGATAACAACTGCTGGTTAAAAATGATATGCATAAGCAAATTGTTCTTAATTTTATCATAGGAATTTAAACTGAGATAAGTAATTTAGATACTATGTTAAAAAATGTAAATATCTCGTGAGAATGTTAATTGATTTAACAATCCAATATTTAGTTAAGCTTCACATAAAAGAAAAATATGAATATACAAATCTTAACACTAATTAAATGTCAAAAGTACATAAGTACTATGATGTTTTATTTAAATGTTTCTTGGGGTTTTTCCTTCAGACGAAATGTTACGTAAACAATGACATGTCGTTAATATTTTAAGGTTTTCTGGTCGAATGCGAGAACCCTTTTCGATCCCGTCTTGGGGGTTGTGTCCCAAATCCCATAAGAACCCGGAATAGTAGGTAAACGGACTGTAAGTTTGGGACTGTCCCGAGTGACAATATTGAATTGAGTACGGGACAGTAATCGACCTTATGACCACGCTTAACCAATGGAATGGAAAGTGTTGTGGTCACAACATATTTTTATAAAGACTATCTACTCTCGCGCGTTTTCACCCGCTGCTCGGCTCATTTGATCGTAGCGTGGTGTTTTATAGCTTATAGCACTCAGGAACATTGTAGCTACCTATCAGTGAAATAATTTTGGTAAGCCGACTAGCGGTTTCAAAGACTTTTACTTCCGAAGACTTTTTACTTTCTACATTTCAACTTACGAACTTATTTTATATATTATCTTATTTTAATTCTTTATAATATTAGTATAGGTTTTGTCATGCATTACCTACACCGAAAGTGTAAGGAGAGATGCACATAATTATAGACAGTGGTTAAAAATTAATACTATTGACTTTTTAAAAGTACTTTAATTCATTTTTTTATGTGATAGGTTGGCAAACGAGTACCTGATGATAAGCAATCAGAGCCACGTTATTACTACTACGTTGCCGACCTTTGGTGGATTAGGGATTTGGAGATTTAGGGATTGGAGGAGGGAAAGGATTCGGCGTGCGGTAACCTCATTCAGACGGCGAAACACAACACTGTGGTGGTTTCACGCTGGTTTTCTGTGAGGCCGTGGTATCACTTCGGTCGAACCGACCCATTCGTGCCGAAGCATGGCTCTCACACACTTGCTTCAAGTTTATAAATCACACATCTAATTAACATTTGTATTTGTCTTCTAAGTTTTTAAGAACAATTTTGTTAATTGACGCAAAAGACAGACTACGTCACAAAACGTAGTCATAAAAAAATTCGTAGAACCGCGCCAACCGTGCAGTCTGTTGTGGTATTTTTTTTAATATTTAATAATAGACTTTTTGTTTAAACAGCTCTATAAAATGTATTTTTTATTTAGTATTATTATAAAGTAGTATTAAATGTATTATAAACATGTCTTTATAATATATAAACAAATATATTATGAGTATAAATGTGGATGGATGGAAAGGAAGAGGGAGACCAAAGAAAATATGGATGGATTGTGTAAGAAATTATATGGAAGATAGAGGAGTCAGTGATAGCGTGATGGGTGACAGGACATCCAAGCTACTGGTGGTTAGGGCTCCAAAGACAGGAACCTCTTCACAATACGTACCGTTTTGAAGAAGAACTGCCTTCTGTGTCAGGTTGTTGATCCAGTCTCGTAACGCCTCTACATTTATCCTACTAATACATAGATGTATGTTTGTTATTCTATCACACAAGAACGGCAAGACCGATTTGATTGGAATTTGGTATATAGATAGGTTGTGCCCTGGATTAACACATAGGCTTTTTATCAACATATCATGCGGTTGAAGCTGCGGGCAGAAGTTAGTATTATAACAAATGTTACGAAATTATAGCTAGCTAGCGCGGTTTTTTTGGTGCTTGGCTCCATTTAATCCTAGCGTTATGTTTTATAGCCTATAGCACTCCGGAACATTGTAGCTGTCTACTTCTACCTCTTTATAATATTGTTAGTATAGATATGTCATTGGAGGTTGCATTAAAATATATGTAGATGCCACTTTAGCATATTGAAGGTATAGTCTTACGCTATAGTTCTACAAGTATTGATACTTTTTTTAAACTTTATTATGATAACATCTATGTATTATGTAAATTGGATAAAATAATGAAATGTTTACACATTTACATGCTTTATATTTTCTATGAATAATTTCATGGGAAAATTTTTGTTTTTGATACAATGGCAGAACAAAGCGTTCATGTTTTTTTTAAATTTTAGGTCAAAAATAATTAAAACAATCGACCCGATTTAAATGAAATTTGGTACTTTGAAAATGAAGATGGTTTACAGGTTTTTTTTTATGTTATAGGTCGGCAAACGAGCAGACGTGTCACGCCAATTTTCTGTGAAGCCGTGGTATCACTCCAGTCAAGACGGCCCATTTGTGTCGAAGTATGGCTCCCCCACACTTCACATACGTGGTTAATTAAGAAAAATAATTATCCACCGGGCAATCGACTTGGGACATGCATCGATACCATTATATATTAATTAATTTCTACAGTGTATTACTATTATTATGTGTTTGTCACTTGTTTTTAGAGTATGAAATCAATATTTTTCTTTATTTCTTCCATTCTTTAACTGGCTGCCGCGCAACGTGTCGCGGGTTCGACTCCCGCACGGAACAACTCTTTTTGTGGTCCACAAATTGTTGTTCCGGGTCTAGGTGTGTTCGTGTGTGTGTGAAATTGTATGCCAACCAACCCACAAACACAGGCGAAAATCCTAGTGTGGGGCAACGTTTTTTCTAAAACAAAAAATCTATACGGTGAATAAGTCAATCAACAATTAAAATTTCTTCCATGATCGAGTACAATAAGAAACCCAATTATTAAAATAGGAATTCCCCATTTCTGACCTTTTTAGGTAAGAACGAATATATTTCTCACAAATATAATAATAAGGTTCAATATCTACATTTCGAATAATTTATTTTGTGAAGACAAACAATTTAAATGAAACAATGAAATAACCGTGGGAACAGTGATATTGTGTTTAAATGTTAACTGACTCATGGTAATTTTTTATTCTTTTAAATATTACGGGCTGACGCGCACGGTTTTCCTCGAAACCATTCAGTGTTCTATCAAGTGACCATTCACTTCAGACTAGATGGTAAAGTCAATAAATATTTCTTTATTTTTTTATTTAAGATTTAGATTATTTTTAAGCTATACAATAAGATTGTGTGTCATTCCAATTGGGCATGTCCATCAACAATGAGTATAGTATATTTTACTATTATTATTAATCTGTTATACTATTATTATTTTAAAACAATTATTTTTTATATTGTATATTTTTGTTCCTGGCATTTATGACTTACGTTCATCAACAGCCTATAAGTGCCCACTGCTGAGCAAAGGCCTCTCTTCACACGGAGAAGGCTAGAGCATTAAACACCACACTTGCTCAATGCGGGTTGGCGATTTCAAACTTATAATTAGAAATTATAAGTATATGTTTCTTCACGATGTTTAACTCCACCGTATGTCAGTGGTGTCTAAATAATCATAGAATATACATAAATAGAACCATATCTCAAGTTATTTTTCTTTCATTTTATTTTTTCTAAATTTACCACCAATAAAACATGAAATATAAAAGACGAGTTCATGAACGTATGGCCGTACCAGTGTAAACTGCTAAACTCCTGTAAATGCCTTAGGCCGGTGCCGATTATAATTATCCGATGGCAAATGAGCGGCAGCAAGTACGTGAATAGTCAGTAGTGTACAGTGGATGATCTCACATGGTATATGTGTGCACTTTGCCGTTGGGTAACCGATCCCGACTACTCAGTAACTGGCTTGTGTGAAATATGACTAATCTAGGCTTGGACGCATATTTTTCTCCTACCCTCTACTTTTGTTATATTGTAGTATAATTCTTAATGTATTTTTATTTTTACCTTTATTATTATTATTGTTCGTTTTGTATCTTTTATGCGTCCCAGACGCGAATAAATACTTTTTGTTTGTTTGTTTGTTATATTCGTATATCTGAAAATGTGCGTGTGTTCTACACGCTGTTGTGCATAGAACAGCCGGATAACCAATATATAGAGGCAGAAAAACTAGTGGTAAATCCTATTTGGATAGGATAGCTTTCTGGGTAACTTATACCGGTATCGGTGCTAACATAACTGGTTATTACTTGTTTCAGAGTACTAAGTCATCATGTATTCCATCGCCGTGATAAACATAATCAATTTGATCCAGACTGGTCTAAGTTATCTCGCCTTGGCGCAGTTTTCTGCATATTTGTGGCCACCAGATGCTGTCGTTCAAGGTTGGTTTTATCTTGAAGTCTGATGTCCTTGCTTTCTTAATGTTGTAAAGTTTCTATAGGTTTTAATAATATGGAGTGTGAAATCACATTGAAAATGTAAAAAAGCTCGAGCGGTTAATATATTCGATAAAAACCTAATCTTTAGAGGATAAATTTGAAGGTTAATAATGTTAGTGTTAATAATGTTATTGTTTTCCCAGACACAATTAGTGAACAGGTCAATTAAGGTCACCTTTTTGTCAATGAAAATCTTTTTAGATACCTACCTTATAATAATTAATCAATTAATCAATTTGAAGCAAGTAGTAATAATGCCAAACTTTAATATGCATAGCACCTTCTTTGAGAGGAGAAATCATTACATGGCTTCTCGAGCTCTGAGTCGGGCAAGAAGGACCGTCAGACTCTTGCCTTAAGGGCCGGATTTGCAACCGACTATTGCGCTTTTACCCGCAACCTCAGTTGAACATCATCCCTATAATACTGGGCCCCATGTGTGGTGTTATACTGGCCCGCAGACGCGCGAGTGGAACTAGCTATTCCACTTTCTTCTTTGCCAGCACGATCTCTTATGCATTTTCATATGAAGGACAATCACGTTTTTTTATTACAGATGGAGCTACATTTGACTACATAATCGTGGGAGCAGGAACTGCTGGTAACGTGTTAGCCAACAGACTGACTGAAGATAATCATGTGAATGTCCTGCTGATTGAAGCTGGTGGTGACGCTCCAGTAGACGTCGTGGTAAGCATTGATAAAAACTTAATTAGTACTTTATGATTGTTTTGTCGTGAGTTACATGAGGCGAAGCTATTGCTAAAAACTGGTCCAAATTGCAACTATACCCTGCGAATCGTTTCTAGCACAAATATGCTAGCCCATATAATTAAATAGATCCAAACACTTTTCAGGTACCAGGCTGTACTTTATTTCTAAAACAATCAAACTACGATTGGAACTACACAACTGAAGACTATGCCATTCCTAGAAAATGTCATCAAAAATCTTACCATGAACCAAGTTCTGGCAAAATGTTGGGAGGCACAAGCTCTCTGAACTATATGCTGTACTCTCGAGGACATCCTACTGACTATGACAACTGGGCTACCATAACAAACGATGAAACATGGAAATGGGAGAATGTTCTTCCATATTTCAAGAAAAGCGAAAAAATTGAAGACCCAGACTTCCTTTTAACAGGTGATATGACTAATCACGGTTCCAAAGGATTCGTAGGATTAACAAAAGAATCCAGGACACAGACAGAAAATATTTTGAAAAGTTTTAACGAGCTTGGTCATGATGTAATTGACGATTCCACGGCAGGTCTTGGCTATTCCAACGCTTGGATTTATATTGGAAAGGGTGGTCGGCAAACTTCTGCTTTAACTTATTTAACTCCAATCAAAGATCGTGAAAACTTACACTTGCTTAAAAAGGCTCACGTCACTAAAATTATTTTTGATAAAAATAAGAATGCTGAAGGAGTAGAAGTTATCTTAGACGATGGGAAAACTATTCATATTAAAGCAGCAAAAGAAGTTATTCTATCTGCTGGTACATTTGGTTCCGCTAAGATATTACTACTGTCAGGAATTGGCCCTAAGGAAGAACTAAAAAGTAAAAACATTGATTGCATATCAGATCTGCCTGTTGGGAAAAATTTGCAAGACCATACCGGTGTAGTTTTAATGCATTCTATGGAGAAAGCTGAACGGTTGATAACAAATCCTAATAAGCATCCATCAGCTCCTGTAGTTGGATATGCTACTTTGGATAAAAGCCATAAGCATGCAGACTATCAAACAATGTCGTTTTACGCTCACTCCAGATTAGTTTTGTACTTTTGTTCCTTTGCTTACAAATTAAGCTATGAAATATGCGACAAAATTTTCACATCAAGCTTAGGTAAATATAATTTATTTACTGAAATTGTCAATTTAAATCCAAAATCTAAAGGTGAAGTGACTTTGAGAAGCTCCCATCCCATGGACCCTCCAATTATTAAGACTGGTTATCTAACAGATGAGGATGATATTGATCATTTGGTGAAATTCACCAAACTAGTCTTACCTATTGTAAATACAACTTATTTTAAAAGCATTAGTGCAGAAACCTTAGATCCAACGCTAGATAATTGTTCTGATTTTGAGAAAGGTACTGATGATTACTGGAACTGCTATGCAAGTTGCATGTTTTCTGGCTTGAGTAACTACGTTGGAACTTGTGCAATGGGCAGTGTCGTTGATGGTAGATTAAAAGTCCTTGGTGTACAAAGATTAAGAGTTGTTGATGCAAGTGTTATGCCAGTTATAACTCGAGGTAATACAGCCGGCCCTACTACTATGATTGCCGAAAAAGCAGCCGACTTTATCAAAGAAAAAGAACTTTAATTAATTTAAACGTTGTTTTGTATATTGCACTAACCGTTCTGTTTGTATTTTTTTTGTACTAAAGATATATAAATTATTATTTTTTTGTTTTCTTCCAAATAGACCTAATTTAAATATGTTTTGCTATTAACGACTTTAATTATTTACGTTCTTGACGCCAAGTCATCGTAGTAAGAGTTTAAATCTACAACGTGTTCATTTTTTCTTCTCCTTTATTTTTCTTGTGTATAAATAGTTAATCTCCGACTACACACGCAACGTTGGCAGTTACGCAGAAAATAAACCTTGCAAAAAACACCCACATACATAAACTGGGTGAAACACCGTATTCGTATTTACTAGGTATTCAACAAAGGGTTAACGTTTATTGCCCCTCGACCGTTGAATATACCGCAGAACCGGATTTATCCAGATATCCACGCCGTCGCTAAACCAGTTCAAACCGCTTCATACCGGATAGGACCGGTAAACAGCTAGAAAATAGCGGAAATTATCGGGAATATAAGGCGGAGTATTGTGTTTATTTTCTTTGAATATTTTGTGGTTAATGTTTCTTTACTGTTTTTCTTTTCAATTCAACTGTATATTATATTATACTTTGACTTGTATATAACTGCTTCGTTTAACAATTTATTTGATACATTTATAATAACATGTTATGGTATATATGAAAATTGACCCACTAACACCGTAGCATCTACCTATATCAGATGTACCGTTTCCAATCTCCCAAAGCGAAACTCGACTAACAAGACAATCGACAAACCCTTAGGGAGGTCGTCACGATCTCGTGACGTAATACATAATGAATAAAAGATCGTGCTGTGTAAAGTGACCCTTGGCCTAAGCTCATCAGGAATTACGTGTCGTATTGACAAACTCAGTTCATGGTAGGAAAATAACTCAAGCTTGTTGGAAATAGCATAATTGATATACGAACATGACATTACGCTTGTTTCTGGGATTAAATAGACAGGTAGACACACGTCAGTAACAATTTGCAATTGACAGCTCTTTTCCAAAGCAATTAGGGACTATTTTGGCGTGTTTGTGTTTTGTGGATAGTAGATATAGAATAATTTAAACGTAGTTTTGTCAGATAGTTGTTTGTAAAAGGCGATGAACATACGTTGAAGTAGATTATAAAGGTGAGCAACATTTTTATTAATATGTTCCAAGTTGGAAATTTGTCGTAATTTGTTTTTTATGGAAAGTTCTATAATCAACATTGTGCAATCGTTTCGCGTTATTTTTTGAGAGAATTCTTTTTATAAAAGCATTCCTATGTATATTAGGATCACCTCAGGAGCAAATCATACCTATACAAAGTGTTTTCCCGAACCCATGATGCGTTACCCAGCAAGAAGCTAATCGTGCGGAATAAAATGTAATAATAACTTATTAAATACATGCAAGAATGTAAAAGCAAATTAAAATGGGGTGAGTTTTGTATTCTTATTTTCTGAATAATCCAACAAATCGCCGAACAAGTGCGCCATCTTATCTATCCGTCTGTGTCCACAACAAAAATGTCGAAAGGCATCATCTAAAACGTCTGTCATTTCTGGATGTCTTCTCATTTCGCGGCTCAACGACTCTATTCGCTTTGATTCCCTTCATTATCTTGAAGTATGCTTTGTAGAAATGGAAACCATTTCGGATATACATTTGGAGCCTGCTTAAAAATGTTTGTTTAGTTATTTGGGAGTGACGCCTATGTGACGCGGATTTGTAATGGAGTTTCTGTTATATAATTAAGTTCTATTTATAAAGTCTATTTAAAAGTAATCTCTAGAATTAAATTTTCCTAAGATTAAGGACAAAGATATGTGTTGTTAGAATTCATTTGCCACCTTTAATCTTTCTATAAGTGTAGACAAAATACAACATTTTATGTAAGCTAAGATTTGAACTTGTTTCGTAGGTGTACTAACAAAGAATACCAAATCTCCTCCATTCCCAAAATCTCCAAATCCCTAATCCCGAAAAAGTCGGCAACGCACTCGTAACTCCTCCGTTATGTCAGGTGTCCGTCGGCGGCACTGATTGCTAACCATCAGGTAATCCGTATGCAGTTTGCCAGCGTTACCACAGTGATACAACAGCCTCAGCGAAAACCGGTGTAAAACAACCATAACGTCGTGTTTGTGACGTCACGAAGCACCAATCCTTCCCCTCCCCTATCCTTTTCTAATCCCTAAATCCCGAAAACCATATACCTATCCTCAATAAGCCACCAACGCACTTGCAACTCCTCACCGACTGCTTACCATCAGGTAATCCATTTTCTCGTTTGTCGCTGAACCATACAGGTAAACACACCCTCTTATGTGGATGAGACAATGGTGCTAAGTAACTACTATTGACCTTAGACCTCACGTTTGACTGTCATACATATGACCACGCAACCTAAAGATTCAGAGAAAATCTATTCAGTAATAAAGCAACTAAATAATATATATTATATTATCAAAGAGATTTTTAACAAAATGGCCGACTGTCATCTGTCAGGACTAACTTGACAGCTAGTTAGAAAGTAACTTAAATACACTCTAAACTTAAGTTTATATACTAAGTTAAATTAAACCGATGATCAATTACAGTCAAAAAGATTTTATCAAGAGTTTGCGGTTGATAAAAGAAAGTCTATCAAAGTAAACTAATTAGTATTATTATTTTTGTTTAAACTAAAACTTGTCTTAGACTTAGACTACGTTTGGTATTTCATATATTATTTTAAACTTTTTAATTGGATTGTCTCGTTAGTGAAACAAACGGTTGAGTGTAAATTCTTGGCAAAATATGTATTGGAGACTTTTTACTTGTACGTAACACGAAAATAGTTATACGTTGAAGAATAATTACAAAGAATAAGTTTCAAATTGCCAATCCGCGTAAGCAAAGCAAGTATGGTGAATGACGTTTAAACCTACTCCGTGTAAGAAGAGGCCTTTCTTTAACAGTGGGGTATATACAATAGGGCCATAAGAATACTTATAGTTCTGGCTTACAAAGACCTTATTTTAAAATAAAGGTGACACTAGTCACATACCTATGTATGTAACCAAACAACGATTACTCATGTATTGTATTCGATTTTTTAATGATATAGTATTCGTTTTTTGAACTGATTCGAAATTTTAAATTATGAAACAAAAAGATAGGGCCCTGTAGACCGATATGTCTTAAGACAATACATAAACTTACTATAATACTTTTTTTTAAAGTTAGTGTATTCTGTGATTGATTATGAATCGTGTACGAAAATAACGATTGTTTCACAGACATTTTTACACTTTAAATAAAGTGTAAAAATGTCTGTTGTGTGTTTCTAAGAGGGATCTGTACTGTAGTATCTACAGTTAACAACGTGATGGATTTTAAAATGAAATGAGATGAGTGAGAGTGAGGCTCGAAACAAATCATATCGGTGCTTTTTCAAATATCCTATCATTCAACTTAATGCGTGTAGGACACATTTTTTGTTGTTTACGAAGAGAAAATCATCAAATGACTTTTCACGCGCTGGGTGAACTTGCTCCCCCAATCCCAACTAGACCTATACATACATATATGGGGATCGGCCCTGGTGGGCTCCACCTGTGGTGATCTTATGGCTCAGACAGAATACACGATCAGGAAGCTTATTCTTTTAATGGAAAATGTGTAAAATATAACATAGTGACGATAGCAGTAACATTTCAAACTATATAGCTTTAAGAGGTCACTTTGAACTGTCTCTCTGTTATTTTCCTTTAATTCAATATAAGCTTCTGAATAGGGCGACACCAATGCAGTTAGGACAGTGTTTTTCAGACAATACTGTTTTATTATTAAACTGTGTTCCGTCCCCGGCCAGTATAAATGTAATATAGAGATGATAGTAAATTTATTCACTATTTAATGGATGTTATTATACATACTAACCTTCCTATTCAATTACTCTACCTAATTAAAAAAAACGCATCGGTTGCGTAGTCCGACAGAGAAAGCGACTCTGTTTTATACCATGTAGTGATAAATATTTTATTGCATAAAAATGCCAATTAAAAAATTGTGCGTACTAATATAATGAATCTGATTAAAATAAAATACCAAAAATTTTTTATATGATAGGTCGGATTTAGGGACGGGAAGGATTGGGCCTCCGGTAACCTCACTCACAAGGCGAAACACAACGTTATAGTTGTTTCACGCCGGTTTTCTGTGAAACCGTGGTATCATTCCGGTCGAGCCGACCCATTCGTGCCAAAGCATGGCTCTCCCTTTAATAAATATCTGTATCTATGGTCAATTTTTTATAATTCCTAACTTATTTTTAACTGAAATTTTCACCATAAACAAACCCAATACTGTTCACCTGGATAAACAAAAATTCAATTGTCGAATCCTGTGATATTTCTTCTTATTATAAATTTTATTAAATTGAATCCTTTTTATAATGAGACCACAAAACATTGGATATTTTAACAAAGGCACATCAAAGGAGTTTTCTTTTATTATTTTATTTTGGTATTGGCTTCTGCCAGCATTTTTGTGCTGGTACCGAGGCAAAAAGGCCAGCGGGGTTAGGGGTGCAAATGCAATGATGGACCTGAGTCCATCCTGGAGCAGGAGGTGACGTAGTAGGGGTGCGCGCAGAAGACCTCCCCGTGCGTTCGGCGGCTGCTGGTCCCTTGCGGATACGTCCGGGGGGAAGAGCAGTCGTTGGACCGGTGCACCCTGGGTACGGACAATAATCTCTTCGCGTAGTGCAGCGTAGAGGAGTATTATTGTCCGGAGCTAACTTCTGCAGGAGGGGTCGCTCCTGCCCCGTCGACGTAGTTGATTAGGTAAGGACGCGGCCACACCCGCTTCGACGCAGGCGCGTCAATGTGGGGTTTGTTTGTCTCCTCGTTCATTGAGGAGCAAACGTTTCGGCGGGTCCGCTGAGTCGGGTTGGCCGGACAGCGGACGGAGGCATGTCTTAATGCCGCCGTCGGGGGGCTTGGCTTTGCCGCCCGGTCCCAGAGGAAGGACACCTCTAAGATAAAAAACCACCCAATCCCAAGTTTTGGGAGCGCGGCGAGGGGATGAATGGCCGTTGGGTGTACGGTCGTTAGCGCTCCCACCTGCTGGTACCTGCCGCCCCCAGCAGTATGTAGGCTTACCCGGGTACCTAAGCCTCTGCCCGGGGTTGACCATTACTTGCTTTGTACTCGTGGGAACAATATGGAGACCCTAACAAATAAAATACAAACAAAAAATGACGAGGTAGGTGAAACAGTACCAATGGTACTAATCGAGCGGAAAGGTGTTCTGTCGGACTCAGATAGCGTGTCAAGCCGTATGAGTGTGACGAGCGCGGTGAGCGGTAATTTAAAACGCTTACGCAAACGCCCAAGAGAAGGTGCAGACTCAGGGTCGGAATCGGGCCTGAGCGATATAGCGATGCCGGCCCCCAAGGTCGGTGCTAAAAAAGGAGGAAGAGGTAGGCCCGCCACCACCGGCAAATATGTTGGTGTTGGCCTATCCAGGCGTGAGGCTGCGGCTGCAGCGAAAGCCGCAGCACTCGCCGATAAACTAGAGGAGGATGAGCGGCAAATAGCGGCTCTGACGAAAAGAGTGACGGAAGGGAGAGTCAGTCGCCTGTCGGAGTCCTCAGCTGTCGTCTCGGATGTAGGAGTCGAGGCAGAGGATCTTCCTGCCTCCGACCTAAACCAAAGGCTGGTTGACGCGGTTGCAGCAATCAGGCAGGTGAGCAAAGTCTCAAAGGGTCTTAGCGGCTGCAGTAAGAAGGCACTTAAAGAGGCCACGGCCTCCATTCTGGAAAGTACTCAAGTACTATTAACACGTACCGTTACAGAAGAGACGGCCCTGCTGCGGGCCCAGAACAAAAAGCTCGCAGCACAAATGGCGGAGCTCCGTAAGGAGCATGAGGAGCTCAAGGCCGAGATGGTCAACTTCCGCCGAGAGCACCTCAGGCAAGAAGTGGGCCTTGCGCTCCCGACGCAGCAACCGCAACCGCAGTTGCCATCACAGGAGACCGAGTTGACTCGCCTGATCCGTAAGGAGATGGCAAGTTTTAATGCGCGCTTCTCGGTCCTGGAGGGGAAGATTCTGCGTCCACCCCTAGCTGCAGACCAGCGCAGCACTCCAACATATGCTGCCCAAGCCGCAACGCCCCGTGCCGCCCAACCGGCACCAGCGGCGGCTGCGACACAAAAAAGAACTGCCGCCTCGCAAATGAAAACTGCGGGGCCACAATCAAATAGGCAGTCAACAAAAGAGGCCAAAAAGACAGGGGCCACTGCTCGGCCAGCCAAGCGTGAACCCGCTACTAGACCCGAGGCGGAGTGGGCGGTAGCAGGCGCCGCCAAAAAGACCAAAAAGGCACGCCAACGGGCCAAAAAACAGGCCCAGAAAGAAGAGGCGGCTGCGAAACGCCAAAACGCGAGGCTCAGCTCTCCCCGCTCTACAGCAGTGGTACTCACCCTGCAGCCAGGGGCAGAGGAGCGGGGCCTTACCTACGCCGGGATTCTAGCAAAGGCGAAAGCCGAGATTTCGCTGAGCGATCTCGGCATTACGGGTCTCCGATGCAAGACTACAGCTACCGGTGGCCGCTTACTGGAGGTATCGGGAGCTACCAGTGGCCCCAAAGCCGACGCTCTCGCCGACAAACTCAGGGCGTCTCTAGGCTCGGAGGAAGTAAGAGTGTCCAGGCCAACCAAGTGTGCAGATCTGCGTATTTCAGGACTGGACGACTCCGTTACGCAGGAGGAGGTCACCGCTGCCATCTCCAGGGCCGGAGGATGCCCGCCGGAACAAATCAAGGCGGGCACGATACGTCGAGGTGTCTCCGGTCTCGGGACAACTCTCGTCAGCTGTCCCGTAGCGGCGGCCAAAAAGATCCAAAACAAGCGGCTCTTGGTTGGATGGGTCTCAGCGCAGGTCGCATTCTTAGCTCCCAAGCCCTATCGGTGTTACCGCTGTTTGGAAGAAGGACACGCGGGGGCACGGTGCACCGCGGGCGTAGACCGCAACCAAATATGCTTCCGCTGCGGTCAATCCGGTCACAAGGCTAGCACTTGCACTGCCAAGCCACACTGCGTTATCTGTGCGGCATCTGGCAAGCCAGCCGACCATCCGACCGGAACAAAGGCCTGTGCCAGGCCCAAGAAGAGAAATGCCAGGAGACAGCCGGTTCATCCGCCAGCTAGTATACCGGTCTTGATGCAGAAGGAAACCAGCTCGTCGCAGCCGGTTCACCCACCGGTTGCGGCAGATCATCCGCCGAGCGCTGGGGAGGAGGCAACGGCCATGGACACTCAATAATGGCCTTACGTCGTCTCCTCCAAGCCAACATAAACCACTGCGCCAGGGCTCAGGATCTCTTACTCCAGAGCATGGCGCAGTGGTCGATCGACGTCACAGCTGTCTCTGAGCCATACTTTGTGCCACCCAGGGATGACTGGGTGTGCGACACGAACCGCTCGGTGGCACTGATTGTGAGGTCTGCCGCCGACACCCTTCCCTTCGAGGCCGTCACCCGAGGGCGGGGCTATGTCGCGGCAGTTTGGGGAAATGTTATGGTCGCGGGGGTATATTTCCCCCCCAGCCTATCTCTCGCCGACATGGAGGATATTATCTCAGAACTGGGCACGGTCGTCAGTCGCAGCCATCCTCGTCCCGTGATCGTTTTAGGGGACTTCAATGCGAAATCTACGGCTTGGGGTTCCCCGGCTACGGATGCACGGGGCGAGTTAGTGGAGGAGTGGGCGGTCGAGCAGGGCCTGCTTCTCCTCAACCGGGGTTCCGTGCAGACGTGCGTGCGGCAGCGAGGTGGGTCTATAGTGGATCTGTCCTTTGCTAGCCCCACTCTCGCACGCACTGTCCAGGACTGGCATGTCTTGGAGGAGGTAGAGACGCTGTCCGACCATCGATATATTCGATTCAGCGTCTCTGCCCAGACCTCGGTTGGGCCGGTCCAAGCGACCCCGGTGGGCGTTGGAGATGGTCCGCGTTGGGCGCTAAAGCGGCTGGACAGGGAGGCTCTCCTGGAGGCTTCTATTGTCAAGGCCTGGTTGGACTCTCCAGACAGGCCTAGTGACATCGACGATGAGGCAGAGTGGTTCCGGGAGAGCATGTCGCACATCTGCGACGCTAGCATGCCCCGAGTCCGGCCGCTACCATCCAGGCGCCAAGTATACTGGTGGTCGCAGTCGATTGCGCAACTACGCACCACTTGTGTGCAGGTGCGACGCCAGTATGCAAGGTTTCGAAGAAGACGTCGCCGCCCCTTTACAGCGGCGGCCGAACAGGAAGAGGCGGAACTGTACAACCACTACAGAGAGGCGAAAAGCGCCCTCCAGCTGGCCATTGTCCGGGCAAAGGCCCAGGCCAATGCAGAGCTGCTGAAGACTCTGGACCGAGATCCGTGGGGACGCCCCTACCTTATGGTACGGGGCAAGTTGCGCCAATGGGCCCCCCCACTGTCCCGGAGTCTCCAGCCGCAGCTGCTGGAGGAGGTGGTGTGTGGGTTGTTTCCGACAAGACCGGAGCACACACCACCGGCTATGGTTCCGCCTCATGATTCGCCCGACGCGGACAACGAGACTGACGACGACGTGCCCGAAGTGACCCGGGTAGAGTTGAGAGTGGCGGTGGCTCGCATCAAGAACACCGCCCCAGGGCCCGACGGCATTCCAGGCCGTGCATGGGTCCTGGCTTTGAGAACTCTCTGGCCCCGACTAGCGGGGCTCTTAAGCGCATGTTTGGAGCGGGGCCAGTTTCCAAGCCGGTGGAAGACCGGAAAGCTGGTCCTGCTGAAGAAGGCGGGGCGCCCCGCAGACTCCCCATCTGCGTACAGGCCGATCGTGTTGCTGGACGAGGTGTGTAAGATCTTCGAGCGGATCATTGCCGGCCGCCTCGTCCAGCACATGACCAGGGTGGGGCCGGATTTGGCGGACAACCAATTTGGTTTCCGCCAGGGGCGCTCCACAGTGGATGCGATCATGCGCGTGAGGGTCCTGGCAGAGGAGGCAGTCGCCCGGGGTGAGGTGGTCTTGGCGGTGTCGCTCGACATCGCTAACGCTTTCAACACCTTGCCCTGGAGTACCATCCGAGAGGCACTCCGGTATCACGGGGTGCCGCGCTACCTCCAACGCATTGTCGGGGCCTATTTGTCGGACAGGTCGGTGGTGTACCCGGGTCGAGAAGGATGGGGTCGGCGAGAGACGTCGTGCGGCGTTCCGCAGGGTTCGGTGTTGGGGCCGCTCTTGTGGAACGTTGGCTACGACTGGGCTCTGCGCGGTGCGCTACTCCACGGCGTCGGCGTCATTTGTTACGCCGACGATACGCTAGTTACAGCGCGTGGGAAGT